GCATTAGCCACAAACTTTTTGAGGACCCCTTATATTAGTCAGGATTTTTTTTAATGAAATACATGAGGCAAGCTACCTGATTATCTGGAAAAGAAATTTATTTTGTCTCTTGGTTCTGGAGATTCACAAAGTCAAGCAAACCCCATTGGTTTTGTCTCTGGTAATGGCAATTTTGCTGGCATTATGTGGTAAGAGGAGAAAGTATGCATAACTATCTCCATCTGTGAGGTCTCTTATAAAGCCAACAGTATTAAATCCTAGGGCCTCTGCCCTAACAACCAAATCCAAGCTAATCACTTCCTGCAGGTTCTTTCACTAAACAATCTAATTGGACTGTTTTTATCCTCTTAGTAACATTGACATAAGACTTTAATCCTATAATAGAGGTTTTTTTCCTCTCTGAGAAGGTCCATATCTGCATGTATCAGATGTATGTGTAAATGTAAGAATAAAAGCATCATTTCTTAATGATACATTCAATATGTATTTGACACTATGGGATACACAGTAGATTTTCTTGTTTCCTTATTGGTTACTTTTTTCTACAATAGTGAGAAATCTGGCTCCCTTTATGTACTACAAATTCACCTATGTGCTCAAACTGAACATATGCATAAAATAACTTTGGAATTGTTGATTTGCGTATCTGTAGTAAACCTACTGACTATGGTTACATGGTTATTTTTATGTTATATATATATATATATAGTTAAAGTATTGTTTCCTAGGTTTATTTATAGAGATTCTCCCACAATTCTCAGTTAGCTATTCGCTGATACAGTTGAAGTCATCTGTTTTTGTTTCCATTTTGGCCTTACTATACTAGTGATATTGATTCTATTTATTTATTGAGTGTATAAAACATTATACTGGTTATAAGTGTCAGAAGTATACAAAGTATGTGCTCACAGATGTGTCACTACACCTCATTTGACTCCATCTGCACAGTTTCATTCTCCCATTTTGTCCACACAGTTTCCATGTACACTCTCATATATAATCAATTTCATGAAATTTTGGCTTGTCACTTTTGTGTTTATATTTGGATGAATGAGCAGTCACAAGCACATTTTATTATTTTCTTTTATTTCTAATGTTGTTTCCTTTTGCTTTCTTCACACAATGGAACCTGAAAATTATTCTGTCTCAGCTCATAGAGATTATATTCATTTTTTGTGGTTGCATAATTCTGTATTGTGTACAGTTAATATATTTTATTCAACTATTTTCCCATATAAGAGCGTTGGTGTGGTTGTGTACAATATGTCATAAATGTATACAATGCTGCAATTAATATTTGTGTATGCATATTTTCGAGTAAATTACTAGATGTGGGGCTCCTGTGTTAAAAAGGAAATACATATTTTCGGTTAGATTTTACTGATTTTTACTCTAATCGATTTGCACGGGTTTGGAATCCCCCAGCAATGTACGGGAGTGCTTGTTTCTTCCTCAAATAGACACAATAGACTGTGTTTTCAGACTTTTTTGAGAATAAAGTCTTGGTGTAGTTTTAGTCTAAACCATGAACATAATGGAGTGTTTTATTTCTTAAGTTTAAGAACCATTTTTAATCTTTTTTTTTTTTTTAAAAATTACTCTCATTTATTTGGAAGGCAGAAAGAGAAGGGTCTTCCACTGATCGACCTGAACTCGAACCAAGTTTCCCACAATAGCTGAGACTGGGCCAGGCCGAAGCAAGGACACTGGAACTCAACCTGAGTCTCCCACATGACTGACAAGGAACAAAGTACTTGAGCCATCACCTGCTACTTCCCAGGGTGAGCATTATCAGGAAGCTGGAAGTGGAAATCGAGCTCTGGCATCCCGATGTGAGATGCAGGGGTACAAAGCACTGCCTTAACCACGGTACTGAATGCCCACCCCTAATAAGCATTTGCTCTATTTTGTGAACCAGGTATATCTGTCTTTTTCTACTGAGTTTTTGATTTTTCCTCACCTCAATTTTTGATAGTTCACTTTGTGTTAGTGATATTAACCCTTATTATATATTTTGCAAATATTTTTCTTCCAATTTGTCAGTTGGGAATTTATTCATTCAAGTTGGGATTTTGTTCATGGTACTCTTTATTCATTTAAGTTTCTTTTAAAAATTGTGTAAACTTATTGTCCTTATTCTCTGGGCTTTGAGTAATTCATACATAGCCTATACTCAAGCCAAAGTTAATAGAAATCCACCATTTTTCCTTTTGTTCTTTTAAAGATTTATTTATTTATTTGAAAGGCAGGATTATAGAGAGAGGGTGAAAAAGAAAAAAAGAGATCTTCCATCTGATGGTTCACTTGCCAAACTGCTAAAACTGCTAGGGTTGGTCCATGTCAAAGCCAGGTGGTTGGAACTCCTTCTGGGTCTTCCACATGGGTGTCAACAGCACAAGCACTGGGACCATCTGCTGCTTTCCCAGGCACATTAGCAGGGAGCTGGAGCAGACATGGAACAGCTATAACTTGAACCAGTGCTCATCTTGGATGCCAACATTGTAAGCAGCAGCTTAATGTACAACACCAGCCCCCATGTTTCCTTCTGATATTATTATTTAATTTCCTGACTCATTTGAAATTCATTCTTGGAATAGAGTTGGGTATAGATATAATTTTGTATTTTTCTATAGGGCTACCTGGTTACCTAAAACCAATATTCATGTTTCTGCAAGTGATTTGAAATGTCTTTTTAAAAAATAATTTGAAAGCAGAATGGCAGAGAGGCGCATAAACACACACACACACACACACACACACACGGATATCTTCCATCAGTTAGTTTACCCCCAAAATGTCTACAACAGCCAGGGTTAGGCCAGGTGAAGCCAGGAGCCATAAAACTCCACCTGGGCCTTGTACATGGCAGGCAGGGATCCACATACTTGAATCATCATCTCTGCCTCCCAGAATGTGCATTAGAGGAGACTAGATGGGAAATTGAGGCAGGAGATGATCCCAGTCACTCCAAAATGGGATGTTGCTATCCTAGGTGGCTTAACTTGCTACACCTTAAGTGTACCCCTAGATGTCAACATTAACATTTAATACATTTCTATTCTTTGAGTCTATTTTGGATCTTCTTGAACTGTGTCATCGGGTTACATATAATATTCTCAGGGTCTTGTGGCTTTAATTACACAGCCTCTCCTTCACGCTTTCAATCTGCTAAGACTGATCCCTCCTTTTGGTTTTCCTGTGAACATCAGTGTCAGTGTATCCAGTGCTTAAATAGCTCTGGTTGGAACTGCATGATGTTTGTAAATTATCTTAGAGAAAGCTGGGATATGTAAGATACTGAGGCATTCTGCTCCAGAACAGTGGTTATCTTTCTATTTGTTAAGGCTAATTTTGTATCACTCATGGATATTATACAATGTGCTCACTTTATCGTTAAGCTAGGTATTAACCTAAATATTTAATTATTTTGACACTGCAAATATGGTTTTACTTATCATAATCTCCTCAAACTGCTTATTGAAGATTATAAATTGGCTCTAACACATTTCTGCAGAGGGTTGCCTTTTAATATGGAACTCAGAAATACCAGTAAGTGTACATCTTCTCCCTCATGTTGTTCAGCTGTTCCCCCAAGCTCTTCTCTCATCTTGAGACAAGAAGGGACAATACTGGGTCACTGTGCTCAGACAGTGTAGTCATGAGAGAAGCTGAGGATGCTACACCCCAATGGCAGAGTCACACTTATCTTCCCCTTTCACACATGCTGCCTTATTGATACCTCCAGCTACTCTTGCTGGCCCAGTGAAGGCTGTCTTCAGGATTTCTGTGTTCCTCGTCTCCCACTCCTTTTCTCCTTCCCCAACCTCCTTACCCTTCTCTGCATATCCTCTTCCTCCTCCAGCCCTCTCTCTCAAGCTCCTCCTCCACCCCCCCTTTTCCTTCCTTCTTACTTTATAGATTTCTGTGTCTTTTATTCTATGCCCCCCCCAACACACACACTGGGAGACAACTCTTTCCATTCTATGTAGTTAGT